CCCCCCCGGGGTATTAACCTCCTGGTGTCCCCAGGAGGTGTCTCATGGGGTGTCCCATGAGGCCACCAGGGGCCACCTCAGGGTGTCCCTCGGCCATTGGGAGCCACCTCCTGGTGTCCCTGGGCCATTGGGGGCCACCTCAGGGTGTCCCCAGGTCACCTCAGGGTGTCCCTCAGCCATTGGGGGCCACCTCTTGGTGTCCCTAGGCCATTGGGGGCCATCTCCTGGTGTCCCTCAGCCATTGGGGGCCACCTCCTGGTGTCCCTAGGCCACTGGGGGCCACCTCATGGCGGCCCCAGGTCACCTCAGGGTGTCCCTTGGCCATTGGGGGCCACCTCCTGGTGTCCCTGGGCCACCTCAGGGTGTCCCTCAGCCATTGGGGGCCACCTCCTGGTGTCTCTTGGCCATTGGGGGCCACCTCATGGTGTCCCTGGGTCACCTCAGGGTGTCCCTTGGCCATTGGGGGCCATCTCCTGGTGTCCCTGGGCCACCTCAGGGTGTCCCTTGGCCATTGGGGGCCATCTCCTGGTGTCCCTGGGCCATTGGGGGCCACCTCATGGTGTCCCCGGGCCACCTCAGGGTGTCCCTCAGCCATTGGGGACCACCTCCTGGAGTCCCTGGGCCATTGGGGGCCATCTCCTGGTGTCCCTGGGCCATCGGGGGCCACCTCAGGATGTCCCCACATCACCTCAGTGTGTCCCTCAGCCATTGAGGGCCACCTCTTGGTGTCCCTTGGTCATTGGGGGCCACCTCCTGGTGTCCCTGGGCCACCTCAGAGTATCCCTGGGGCCACTGGGGGCCACCTTCTAGTGTCCCTCAGCCATCGGAGGCCACCTCACGTTGTTCCTGGGCCACCTCCCGGTGTCCCTTGGCCATTGGGGGCCACCTCAAAGTGTCACTGGGTGCCCCCTTTGGGTGGCCCCCCAAAAAGTGTCCCAAGTCCACTAGGGTGACCAAGGGAATGTCTCAAGGCCACCAGGTGCCACCTCAGGGTATCCCAAGGCCATCGGGTGACTCCAGGAGGTGTCCCAAGGCCACCATGGGCCCCTAGAACATGTTCCAGGGCCACCAGGTACCTCCTCAGGATGCCACCTTTGGGTCTCCCAAGACTATCGAGGGCCCTGGGATATGTCCTAAGGGCTACCAGGTGCCACATTCTGGTGTCCCAAGGCCACCGGGTGCCCCCAGGAAATGCCCCAGGGCCACCAGGTGCCACCTTGGGGTCTCTAAGCATCACTGAGGACCCTTAGAAGGTGTCCCAAGGCCACCAGGTGCCTCCTCAGGATGTCCCAAGGCCACCAGGCACACCCAGATGTCCCAAGGGCACCAAAGGCCCTTAGAACATGTCCCAGGACCAGTGGGTGCCACCTCGAGGTGTCCCAAGGCCACCAAGTGCCCCTACAAGGTGTCCCAAGGCCACCAGGTGCCCCCAGAAGATGTCCCAGGGCCACCAGGTGCCACCTTGGGGTCTCTCAACATCACTGAGGACACTCAGAAGGTGTCCCAAGGCCACCGGGTGCCTCTTAAAGCCACCAGACACACCCAGGAGATGTCCCAAGGCCACCAAAGGCCCTTAGAACATGTCCCAAGGCCACCAGGTGCCCCTACAAGGCGTCTCAAGGCCACCAGATGCCCCGAGGAGGTGTCCCAGGGCCACCAGGTGCCACCTTGGGGTCTCTCAACATCACTGAGGACACTCAGAAGGTGTCCCAAGGCCCCCGGGTGCCTCTTAAAGCCACCAGACACACCCAGGAGATGTCCCAAGGCCACCAAAGGCCCTTAGAACATGTCCCAAGGCCACCAGGTGCCCCTACAAGGCGTCTCAAGGCCACCAGATGCCCCGAGGAGGTGTCCCAGGGCCACCAGGTGCCACCTTGGGGTCTCTCAACATCACTGAGGACACTCAGAAGGTGTCCCAAGGCCACCAGGTGCCCCCAGAAGATGTCCCAGGGCCACCAGGTGCCACCTTGGGGTCTTTAAGCATCACTGAGGACCCTTAGAAGGTGTCCCAAGGCCACCAGGCACACCCAGGAGGTGTCCCAAGGCCACCAAAGGCCCTTAGAACATGTCCCAGGACCAGTGGGTGCCACCTCGAGGTGTCCCAAGGCCACCAGGTGCCCCTACAAGGCGTCTCAAGGCCACCAGATGCCCCGAGGAGGTGTCCCAGGGCCACCAGGTGCCACCTTGTGGTCTCTCAATATCACTGAGGACCCTTAGAAGGTGTCCCAAGGCCACCAGGTGCCTCTTAAGGCCACCAGACACACCCAGAAGATATCCCAAGGCCACCAAAGGGCCCTAGAACATGTCCCAGGACCACTGGGTGCCATCTCAAGGTGTCCCAAGGCCACCAAAGGCCCTTAGAACATGTCCCAAGGCCACCAGGTGCCACCAGGAGATGTCCCAGGGCCACCAAAGGCCCTTAGAACATGTCCCAAGGCCACCAGGAGGTGTCCCAGGGCCACGTTGGTTGCCCCCAACCCGCTGGCGCATGCCCCCCATGGTGCTCACCAGGAAGAGGTACTGCAGGCCGTAGATGATGGAGTTTATCGTCAGGACGGGCTTCCAGTCCTCTCTGGGGACAAGCCAGGCATCAGGGGACACTGGGGCCACCACAGAGGTGGCCATGGCCACCCCAGGGTGACCACAGCCATTCCAGGGTGACCACCGCCGTAACCCCATGCCCAATATCGAGATGCGTGGGGCAACTGTTTGCCCCCTTGTCCCACCCTGCCGGGGGTACAGGGGCAGACAGGGACACTGATCCGGCTGTGGCCACCCCAGATGTGGTTGTGGCCACCCTGGAGGTGGCAGTGGCCGCTTTGGGTGTTACGGTGGCCCACCTGAGGATGTTGAGGCAGACGTTGCCCTCCAGGTCGATGTTGGGGTGATAAACCATCGTCTCGCACTTCACCTTCGGCGGGTCGTGGGGGTAGCCCTGGCCGACCTGGGGAGTGGCCACAGTGTCACAGCTCGCCCCACCACCACCTCTTGGTGGCCACCAGCTCCTACCCCAACCCACAGTGCGGCCACCTGGTTTCTCGTCACATCTTGGTGACCACTGGTCTCATAGTGGTGGCCAACAGCCTCTGGACGCTGTCCCCAATTCACAGTGGGGACACGCTTGTCATGTCTTGGTGGCCACCAGTCATGTCTTGGTGGCCACCAGCCCCTACCCCAACCCACAGCGCGGCCACCTGGTTTCTAGTCACGTCTTGATGGCCACTGGTCTCATAGTGGTGGCCAACAACCCCTGGACGCTGTCCCCAATTCACAGTGGGGATATGCTTGTCATGTCTTGGTGGCCACCAATCATGTCTTGGTGGCCACCAGCCCCTACCCCAACCCACAGTGTGGCCACCTGGTTTCTAGTCACATCTTGGTGACCACTGGTCTCACAGTGGTGGCCACCAGCCCCTAGACCCTGCCCCCAACCCCCATCAGTGAGGACACGTGGCTGCTTACCACGTCTTGGTGGCCACCAGTTTCTTGTCCCTACCTCAAACCAAGTAGCCAACAGTCACCCCTTAGTGGTCACCACCCCCCAGCTCCCACCTTCAACCTACAGACACGTGGCCACTGATCATGCCTTGGTGGCCACCAAGTTCTCCTGCCCCACCTCCAACACAGAGCCTACCCCAACCTACAGTAGAGACACCTGGCTACTGATCATGCCTTGGTGGCCACCAAGTTCTCCTGCCCCACCTCCAACACAGAGCCTACTCCAACCTACAGTACAGACACCTGGCTACTGGTCACATCTCGGTGGCCACCAATCCCTAGTCCCGGTTCCAACCCACACGGTGGCCACAAGTCATGGTTGGTCACCTTCTGGTGGTCACCAATCAGGTTTCAGTGGCCACCGACCTCCTGCTCCCACCCAGACGACTGCGGGTCCCACCCTGGTGGCCACAGGTCCCACCTTGGTGGCCGCCATCCCTGCTGCTGCCACCCCCCAGCCCGGGGGGGCAGCCACGTGGCCACCGGTCCCATCTTGGTAGCCCCAGGATGGGTGTTGGTGGCCACAGGGTCCCCCCCCTTAGTGCGGGACTGACCTTAAAACTGAAGACGAATTTCCCTCCTTTGTAGAAGCCCTGGGGGAGAGAGAGATGTCACCGGGGGGGGACATGGAGGGGGGGACCCCAAGGGACACTTGGGGACAAAGAAGGGGATGGGGAGACCCACAGGGAAAGGTGGGGGGCACAGGGGAACCCCGAGGGGACAGAGGGGG